TTGAATACTGAAAAACAGCTCATTAAAAAAGCTGCCATCCACTTCTTCTAATTAACTTGCTCTTTGCTACCCAGAGAGTTTGCTGAAATGTGCAGGAGTTTATGCTTGGAAACAAGAGTGAACTGAAGGAAGTTGACACAATGCTAATCATTGACAGTGGCAAAGTGTTTTTAACTGGGAAGTTGGAGTAAACAGGCAGCAGGAACAATAGCTTGTGTCCTCCTGGCCCCTGATGGGACTCTATGCAGGTATTGTGATGGATGGGCACCTCCAGGACATGGTCTAGGCAGCTGCAGGAGCACAGATCTCATTGGAATTCAACAGAGACACAAAAGGGTAGCCGGTCCATCATGCCACTTGAGTTGTCAAGAAAGAGCCAGGTCCTTTGTGCTCCAATAACCACATGCTGCTGAACCAGAGGGAGACAGAAGCAAATGCAATAGGAAACACTTTCTTTGCTCACGCTTCTGCAGGTGCAGAATGGTATAAAGGCATCTAAGAACCCAGATCAGTCCAGGAAATTGGTAACTGGGGTAGCAGTTAAAATTGTAGAGGTTCCCCACCCCCCAACATTAGGGAGATCTAAATAGCTGTGGATTCTGTAGAAGGAAAACAGTAAAGACATTAGTTGGTGGGGCATTTTCTTCAGGAAACATGGCTTTTGCTGCCTGGCATGTCTGGTCTCCCATCGAGTGGGCACGTTGGATGTGGACGGCTGTAAGATGCAATGGAGATTACAGTTTCTTAGTCCAGCAGGGAATCTCGGGAAGGAGGCAAGTTGGTTCTTCTGTCAGGCCACTGTTCTAATCTGCAGCAGATCTGTAAGAATGGGGTGTGACTTAGGGACAGAAATAAAGAGGAACCCGGCAGCCCAGATATGGAGTCTAACTGGATAAAACCTGGTTTCTCTTTGGGTCCCAATGTTGTAACTACTTTGTATTTTTTACCTATGGGTAAAAAAGCTTTAAAATTTTTTCCGTTGCCTTGACAGAGTTCATAGAATTGTATGATCACAGATCTGTAGCTGGAAGGGACCTTACTTTATTTACAAATGAGGAAACTGAGGGCAAGGGAAGTGAAGTGATTTTCCCAAGTCACTTAGGTAGTAGGTATTAGAGGCGGGATATGAATTGAGTTTCTCTGACTCCAGAGTCAGTCTTTGTTCCATTGTACCACCCTCCCTCAAAGTACAACAAATACAATACCACAAATATTTATTAAGCATCTATTGCATGCACCTGTGCCAAGTGCTGGGCAAGAATAAAGCTTGGGTAAAACTTGTTCCTTACCTTCAAGGAGTTTATAATCTGCAGTGTCTGGTCCATGAGTAGTCTGTGTGGTCTACAGGCTGGTATCTTTTGGTATTGATATCTGTTTATAAAAAGACCCCATCTCTCCTTTTGTTTTCAGTATGAATTAAGGATTCATTTGTGCATTTTAAAAAATCGTCATTTCCTTATTGGTATTTCCTTCTTCCCACTCCTATTCTCAAGTGTTTTGTTTTATCTTATTATTTTCAATGGTGGTAACTAGAAAATGCTTTAGAAGGGGAGGGGGGAGTAGAGAACTCCTTTGCCCTGCTAAATTGGTTGATGAACTGAATGTGCTTGGATTCATTACTTTCCACTGGCACTTGGTCATGTGGATTCTGCCTTTAAAAAAAGGTGAAACATTAATTTCTCTGTCTCAATCCTTCCTTATTGCTGTGACTGGATAATCATGGAAATTGTTGGGAGCAAGGAATTTTGACATCTGAAAAGCAGAAATCTGAAGAATTAAAACTGCTTCACTCCTGGAGTTAGAATCAGGTCAAATCATTCAAACAACAAATATTGATTGAGTGCCACTTGTCATTAAGATGGTCTAGGTGATATAAAGAAATGTAAGAGGCCATTCCTGTCTTCAGGAAGAATCACAGGGAGACAAGACATAGAAAATAATACTTCAAGGACCTATGTCTTTGTTGAGTGTGGGTCAAAATGGATGACAGCTTATCATCTTAAAGAGAGCCTTCCTGGGGCCCAGAGACCATTGTCCCAAAACTACTCAGTCCATGAGAAGTGAGGATTGAACCTAGTTCCAGATTCTAGATCATTATCCTGCCCATTATTCCATATTGTCTGTAGAAATATGTGACAAATACCAAATGAATGGTATTCAGAAAAATGGTATTCAGAAAAAATACCAAATACCAAATGAATACAAATACCAAATGAATGGTATTCAAAAAAAATGTTTTGGAGTTTATGGGAGAGTCAGATTACTGTGAGCTATAGTGGGTTTGTGAAAGATTTGATGCCAGGTTTCAGAAGAACTGGACTCAGTATCTGCTGTGTTTCCTATTGCTTGTGTGCCCTTGGTCACTTCACATCTCTGGGCCTCAGTTTCCTCAATCTGCAATGTGAGAGAATTGGACTTGGTGGTCTATAAGACTACTTCTAGCTTCAGTTACTATGGTCCGGTGACATGGGACTTCAGCTTTGGCCTCGAGGGACAGACTAGCCTAACTAGGTTATCACTGTAGATTGGGTTTGGGCAAACTGGTTGAGTAGATAAGATAACTAAATGGAACACGAGGAAGCTGATGTTAGTACTTGGCTTTCTTGCTGCCTTAATGGTTGACTTGTGACTTGTCATTTAGCACAGGGCCAAGCACTATTAAGAACTTCATAAATGCTTTTTTGTTGACACAAAGGACTTGGGGGATTCATTCTCATCTGTTAAGACAGGATATTCACAGCAGTATAGGCAATGAACCAGAATATTTGGGGGGGGGGGGTGCTTTGTACAGCATTTGGAGTTCCACTAGGGAGGGATTGTGCATAAAGTACTTTTTGTACTTTTCTCTCTTTTAACCAAGAGCGGCACTCTTAATGCTCTTCAGTAAAATTGTCACTCTTCATTTCAAAGTGTAGCCACCTTGGACATGCACTCGTGATGGTTTTGTGTTTGAGTGGAAACCTATTTTGACAGTGAAATTCTTTGCAGGCATTTTGACCACACCTTTCTGCCTTGTATTGTGGCAGGGTAAGCCCCTGTGCTTTGAATTTGTGATCATGTGGGTGTTCTTATAATACATAAACCTCTTGGTCTTATATTATACTTAAACCCTAGAAGAAATGCTCCCCAGAACACATACACACAGACAAATCCTCTTACTCTTTCTTTGTCTGTTTCCATTACTCTATTCCAAGAAATGTTCCTAAAGTTCATAAAAAGACCTCATTGTATTAGCTTTCCATGCAAAGCTGGGAAACACACATCTCAAGTAGAATTGAGTTTAAAGTGGGTATTCACTGAGGAACAGGGCTATGATATTCTCCATTAAGAAGCATGCTGCTTCTTATTTTTATCAAATTATTTTGATAAAATTACCAAATTTGTACCCTATATCCAACCTGATCAGAAACTGAGAAACTTATCCAAAGGTTAATCACTCAAGCAACAAACATTTATTAAGCTCTGGTTATCACATTTTATGCTTGGGTATGAAGATATTGGGGTATGAAGAAAAAAAATGAAACCATCCCTTTCCTTAGAGAGCTTCCATTTTATTAGTCAGATCAACCCTAGTTGATCTCCCCTCCTCACCTCAAGTCTTTCCCCATTGCGATGTGTTCCCCACACAGCTGTCAACATGATTTTCTTAAACCACGGTTCTGACTATGACCCTGCCTATGACCCTGCCTCTGCCCCATGCCCATCTACCTCCCCACCCACTCAATAAATGCTAGTGACTGCTTTTCATCTCTAAGATGAAATATAAACTTCTTTGTTTGGCATTTAAAGTCCTTCGCCACCTGACTCTAATTTGTCTTTTGGGGGTTTTTACATTCACATTTCATACACACTATGATCCACGCACTTTCATACGCACTATGACCCACTCAAACTGGCCTTCTTCCTGTTCTTCAAATGTGGCCCTCCATGTTTCTTCTCTGTGCCATTACACTGGCTATCCCACACTGCCCCACATTCTTACCTCCTTCTCTTAGAATCATTAGTTTTCCTCAAGGCTCAGCCGAAATGCCACCTTCTTTTTTGAGTTTTAAATTTTTCTCCCTCTCCCTTCCCACCTCCCTCCCCAAGACAGCACACAATCTGATATAGGCTATACATATACATGCCTGTTAAACATATTTTCACATTAGTGATGTTGTAAGTAAGAATAATACACAACAGAAGAAAAAAAATAGTAAATAGTATGCTTCAATCTGCATTTAAACTCCATAATTCTTTCTTTGGATGTGGATAGCATTTTCCATTATGAGGCCTTTGGAGATGTCTTAGATTCTTGTATTGCTGAGAAGGGTTAAGTCAATCAATATTAATCATCATGCAACCTGGCTGTTACTGTGTACAGCTTTATCCTGGTTCTGCTCATGAAATGCTACCTTTTACATGAAGTCTTTCCTGATTCCCCCCCAACCTTCCCCTCCACACACCCTGTAATAGCAGCTGGTGCCTTCTCCCCACATTATCTTGTATTTTTTTTAAACATACCTGTTCATGTTGTTACACACACACACACACACACACACACACACATACAACTGTAAGCTGTTTTACTTCTTTCTTTGTCTTCCTATCCCTTAGCACAGTGGCACAGTTTAGTCATTTTTTCAGTCATATCCAACTCCTTATGAGTTCATTTATGGTTTTCCTGGCAAAGATATTGGAGTGGTTTGTCATTTCCTTTTCCAGCTCATTCTACAGATGAGGAAACTGAGGCAAACAAAGTTTAGTGACTTGCCCATTATTCTCACAGGTCACACAGCCAATAAGTGTCTGAGGCCAGATTTGAACTCAGGAAGATGAGCCTTCCTGACTCCAAGCCCAGCATTCCATGCACTGCACCATCTAGCTGCCCCAGTGGCATATGGCAGGTGTTTAATAAATGCTTGTTAATTGATCAGTTTCCATTATTTACTGTAGTTGCTGTGAAACTTTTCCATCTGAACCAGTTATGAAAATCAACTCATTTTCTCTGTTTTGGTCAGGAGTTCCGACTCTGAAGAAGCATTTGAGACTCCAGAATCAACAACTCCCGTCAAAGCTCCTCCAGCCCCGCCCCCTCCTCCTCCAGAAGCCATCACAGAGCAGGAGATCAGACCACGGCCAGCGCCTGAAGACCCAGGTAATGAAAATGACAGGCAGTTAGGATTGGCCCTCAGGAGGGAGGGCCTCTGGGGACTCAGCCAGGCGATTGTTAATTCCAAGAAGAAGGGATTCCCATATCACACTTGGGGACTTGGCTAGCATTGAACAGCAAACCCCAGGAGTCCATTTATATCCTTAGGAGGGAACCAAATGTAATCTGGGCTCTTTCTGCAACCTGGACCATGAAATCAGCCTCTTTTTGTTTAGGGATACATGTGAGGAAAGTTTGAGCTTCATGCATTTTTAACACAGCAAGTTAAAACATCAAGTTATTTGATTCAAAATATTGACTTTACCCATTTGTAGAAGCCTTAAAAAATTCCAGTGAAATCACCCATTGAAGTGAGGGTGTAGTCTGTGGGAGAGAAGGAGATTTGGAGATTAAAGATAAGAGAAGGTAACATAGGGCTGAAAAGGGCTCAGAAAGAGTATTTAAGAGAATAATATCCCAGTGACTAACCCCCTATTTTCTGTTATGTTTCTCATATCCTCTCTCATTCTTTCTCATTCACTCTCTTCTAATGATGTGTTAAAATATGACTGGAGATGTGTTAATTCCAAATGTTGATGTCACTAACCCTGAATAGCCATCCCACAACCTACTGCTGGTCGTCTGAAATCCTTATCCTTGTACCTGAATTTCTCTTTGCAAGCAGGAATTTTGATGCATATCTGGCACACTCAGAAGACTGTTTATTTGAGGAAATTGAAGGAAATGCCCAAAGCGAGCACATCATACTGATTTAGGAAAATGTTGAACCCCAGAATAAAATTGAATTTTCATCTAGGTGTTGGTTTTGCAAAAGGTTTGTGGTGCCGTTTTGGACCTGTAGGTCTGAGCAAGCTTTTCTTTTCAAAGCAATCGATACCAAGCAGTGCTTTGCTCTTGAGCAAATATACTTCCTGAGGCTTGTGGGAAAGGGGGGAAAAATCAAGGAAAACCTACTGCCTTTGCTAGTGTCAAAAAATGCCTCAAGGAGTGTTACAAGTTGACAAATGCAATTTTAATACTCTTGCCAGCAAGCTTTCTTCAGTAATATCAATCAACAGCAGTATCTAGATACGCTTAGCAAATTTGAGATCTTGTTCTCAAAAAGTGGGTAATTTCTTTTTATTTATTTGATTGTGAAGTGGGAAGGAAATCTATAGGGATTCTTCTATTTCCCTGAGGTTTTTTTTTTTAACAGATCTACTTTTGTTACTTTCCATTAATAATAAAGCTCATGGGGCAAGCTGAATGACACTTAATTAATATAAATTAAAAAAAACAACATTCAAACATTCAACACTTACCTTTTCATGGAAAATTACTGTGTGCCAAGCATTTTGTAGGCTTTAGATCAAAGGTAGAATTAAAATGAAAGTATTATTTTTTTGAGTTTATAAGTTTAACTCATGAAAATGCATGGTATAATTCCAAAAAGGATTAGGAGGAAGGCTGTAGCATATCTAACAACTCATATATATTTCATCTCAACAGAAAAATCTGAATCCCATAGAAATATACACATGTGTATGAATATAACATTTTTAGTCAAATATCAAAGCCATATTTTGTAGAGGATTTGCAGAATTGCAGAGCTAGATACTTAGTAGAATGTTAGAGATCATCTGATACAGCCCCTTAACCTGCAGATGAGGAAACTGAGGCCTAGGGAAATGAAAGGCCTTGGTCCAGCATCACTTAAGATACTGGCAGAGTTGTGATCAAAACCCAGCTTGTCCAGCTCTCAGGTGCTCAGGGATCTTTCCACTGCTCCAGTCTCACTAGTTGTCTTTTACTTTTTTCTTTTTTTTTGTAATTTTTAAAATTTTAAACTTAAATACAAAATAAGAAAAGAAAAAAAAAACATTGCTATGTACACAGCAGAACATGAGAGGATTCAAAATATAAAGCAATAGTTTTCCATTTCAAGAAGGCCTATATAATAAACACTACATGCTGTGTTCAGAGGTGTCCACCTTTTCTTTGCTTCCTTGTAGGTTTTTCATTCTGTTCTCTGCTGTGCATTTTTTACTTTATTCTTTTTTTCCCCCTTCCTCTTCCCTCCTCCTCCAAGAAGGCTACAATTAAGTGTAGAAATACACACACACAGACACAGACACACATACATATACGTATATATACATACACATTCATATACATATATATTTACACATAGACATACATATAGACATACATATACACTTACATATACATGCGTAGATATCTATATTCATACATGTATATACTCATATACATTCATATGCATCTATATCAGACTGTACTATAGTTGTTTATATTCTGTTTCTCTGAAGGTGGATAATATCTTCCTTTATAAATCCAAGTTTTTCTGTATTTTTCTAAGTCCACCAACTCATCATTTCCTACACCACCACAACATTCCAACCTTATACTAATGGGTTGTTTTAAAAAGTCTAAAATATTTGTTTTTTTCTTGAGGCAGCTAGGTAGCACAGTCCATAGAGTGCTAGGCCTGGAGTAAAAAAAGTCCTGAGTTCAAATCCTGCATGAGATTTTGATCAGATGGAAACTGAGGTCCAGACAAGTGATGTGGTTTGATACAAGGAGTTAGTGACAGAGGAGGAGATAGAACTCAGATCTCTTGACTCACAGATTAGTTGCCGTTCCATTTTGAAGTACAGACATTTCTCTGTTAGAAAATTGTCTTTTTGTGATATGGAATATTTGCTGTACAACGAGGAAACCAGCATGAGTTATTACAAAGCACAAAGCACAGCTCCCTATTTGGCTGGTTGGCTAAAGAAAAGAAAGCACTTTTGATGAAGAACTATGTCAGTGGAGGGTCAGGAAAGGAAAATCTTATAATTTCCTTTTTTAAACTATCAGAGTCACTGCTGAATCTTACTGAAAGAGCAGTTTTACACAAAGGTCTGAAGTCTCTCCCCAGAAAACTTAAGTTTTCTATCAAACAATCAAACACTCAACATAAGTTGAGCCAACATGCTATACTTGCATTTCTTGGGACAGTTTCTATGATTCAGAAGATTCAGGGTCCACTTCTCATTAGTTGGTTATCCCTGGACTAGTCATAGACTGTCTCAGGGCCTTGGCTTCTTCGTCTGTAAAATGAGGGGATTGGATTAGATGAGCTTAGTGGTTGGTTCTAGGTCCAAGAGCCTTTGAATCTCTACAATCGGTTCTTGAATTTGGTTGCTCTGGAGCAGAGGTTCTGAGCCATTTTGGGTATCCTGGCTGGTAAAGCCTATGTTCCCCTTCTCAGAAGACTGCTTGTTTCCTGCATTCATAACTGAAATAAGTGCTAAAAGTCAAGATGTAATTTTTTTCATATCCAGGTTTACAAACCCCTTGAATTCTTTCCATGAACTCCTTGGGGATCCATATATCCCAGGTTAAGAATCACTGCTATAGAGAAAGGACAAGGCATGTGCCAAGCCCAGTTAGAAGTTGACTAAATAAATTGGAATAATACTAATGCCTTACATCTGTATGATTCTGTGTAGTTTTATAAGTGCTCTCGCAGACATTACTTCATTTCGAAATGATAACAGCCCAGGGCATTGGTATTATTATTGCTGCTCTACAGATGAAGAAAACTGAATCTCCAAGAGATGAAGTGATTTGTCCAAGTCCACACAATTATTAAATGGTAGACTAGGGCTTACAGTCAGGTTTCCCATCTTGTAGTCCCTTGCTTTTCTCCTTATACCAGGCTAGTTCTATTAAGCAATTTCAGTGCAGCCAGAGTGGAGGTCAAGGTATTCTGAAACCCAGTGACCTTGACCTTGCCAATAAAACAGTGGTTAGTGAAACAGAAGGTGAGGGGCAAACATGTTGTCATAGATGAAAAGATAACTGGGGCTAAGGCAGAGAGGATGATTCATTCAGATGGTCTCATTCTGCCACATGATGTCATTCTTGGCACAGCAGACCCCAACTCTGAGCTAGTTGAGATAAGCCTTCTTAATCTTGTCACATTCAAATTATGTCTAGTAACTGTCAGGCTATTAACCTCATCCATGCCAGCACCCTGCCAACCGCAAATGCTCACTAAGCTTGAAATGTGAAGGAAGACAAAGCCTGTGACTATGATTAGGGAATAAAGATAATAGAAAATTACATTCCTAAACAGGCTTGACACTTATCAATGGACATACCTTTTGTTTCTTCCTAAAATGAGTTAATATTCTTTTTGTATTTAAGTTTGGGAGCTTCAGGGTTGATCAGATCCTAGGACCCCAGAATGAAAGCTTTAGGAATGATATTGCAATCACAGCAAGTGCGATATTTTTTAATGAGAAACCTATTTGTTACTCTGGATTTAGAGTGCCCTGAGAAACATTTCTACTCACCCTCAATCCCAGCAACTCTATCCAGAACCATCTTAATAGGGGACATAACTCAGATCTCCAGCTTTCCCAGATTTGTATATAATTACATGACAAGATTTCAAGTGGTCAGTATTTTAAAAATGTAAGATCCTCTCCACTTGGCCCCTTGGTTCGTTGATGAAGCATCCTAAGACAAGGGAATGTCATCTTAGGAGTGGTACCTCGTGAAGGGGAGGAGCAGGGGGTGGAGGTGGTGTTGACTTTTTTTAGGAAAATATTTGGAATCTGATGACTTGGGTTCAATCCTGGTCTTTTAGTTAGTTCCTGTGGGGCACCTGTAAAGTGAGATGAGACTAGATGATCTTTCAGTCTCAATCCCATGATTCTGTGTTAACTTGATGATTAAGTCATGGATTCAGATTACAAGGTGCTAAAAGTGATTTAAGCAAGATACTGACAGAGCTGGAGAGTTTTCTTGAATGAATGGTAGACAAACAGCATCCACTGGAAATCAGCATCACCACACAGTCTATTTCCACTAGGCTGAAGGGTCATTCCCACCGAGCACAGATAGCTCAGAGCCTCAGCTCACTGCCTTCTGTGATCCATTGTAAATGCCACCAGAAGTCAATGTGCCTAGAAGTGTATAGGGCACTGCACTTT